ATTAGTCAATAAATAACTATTATTATGAGTAGCTACATCTGTAACTTAGCCTTTTTATAACTTTTTTTATCTTCTGATTGTCATGGTACCTTCTTCAATACACTGTGGAGGAAATACTTATTGTACCTTGTAAATGCATTTCTAACCTTTGTTTCTGTTCTTTGCATGTGAATTGTACTTCATATTATGATCTTTTATCTCTATTTACTGTGTACTTAATCAGCATTTCTCAACTCAGTCCTGACTTATATGCAGCCTTGAGTCTTCTTTTATAAACCCATTATAATTTAGTTAAATTTCTATTTTGTGCTTACTTGTTTAAATGAAGATTTTTCCAGCCATAAAACATTAGAAAATCACAAGACCCAGTTCATAAATACTAGGATTGCTTTTTGAACCTCAATTATTTAGTTTGGAACTTAATTTCTTCAATCCTTTGTGTTTTACATTTTTAACAATGGCCAATTCACAGCATTTATTGAGATGAGATATTTAATATTTTTAGTTGTAAATGAACTGTTAATTTTATTTATTTATTTATATTTGGTGTTGAGAATTGAACCCACTGTTTCACACATGCTAGGCAAGCACTCTACCACTGAGCCACCTCCCCAGCACCTATTAAGATTAAATTTTAATGACATGTATTCAGTAATGATAACATGCTCACTGAAGTTTGTTAATTGCTAATTTGAAATTACAATCATTTCTTTACTATTAATTGTAAGATCTAGTCTATCATAGAGATTTTATAACACATGAAACTGTCTTAAAATAGATTAAATACCATAGGGATTTAAATATCAGAGTTATTATAAAATCCTTTAAGGAGAAAGAGCACAACTTGAGGTTCATATTATCACCCACTTAATACTGAATTTTCAAATCTCACCCAAGACTTTCTAGTTCACAACTCTTATATCCTGAAAACCTAAGATCAATATAGGGTAAGCAAAACTAAAAAGAGTAGAAGATAAGATTTGTGATCCAGAATGGCTTTTGCATTTAAGAACTGTACTTTAACTCTGGGGACATTCTTATTCCTAATAAGGTAGAGATCTGAGTGGGAGCAAATATTCCAGATGAAGGAAATAAAAACAAGTGTTCTGTTTGATACTTTCCTATGTGAGTGTCTATTATTGAGAGGGCCTGGGAATATGTGAGGAGGGCAACAGATGCAGAGGAAACACTTTCTGATCACCAGAAACCCACATTTTGGTTGGAGATAAAAGCATGTCCATGTATATACAAATAATAAAGTTTCACTGAAGTGGGAGCATCAATGAAATAAGAGCTAATTCATAGAAATTGTGACTATTATAGAAGAATAAACATGGTCTGGAAGAATCTGAAAATGTTGCATGGAAGGTTCCCCTTGTATATCTTTCTTTCTTTTTTCTTATTTTGGTCTACATTCCACATACCTGGACGAGACAGGTCCTAACACTAGATCTCAGTCTATTCTCTGCTCCACACAGTCACATATTTGGGGAAAAAAACAGGAAGAAGTTGCCTTTTCCATCAACTCTCTTGGCTTTATTCAAACTACAACTGATTATGCCTCCATCACATCACCTCCTTAGTAAGTAATGCATAAAAACAAAATTTTATCTTCATTTGGTGTTAATATTACATGAGCTAATACTTAGATATGATTTAGAGCTAGGTGCAATATTCTACTCATCTAATTCCACCTTAGGCTCTAGAGTCTAAGGCAGGTGGATGGAGAGATCAAAGCCAGACTCAGCAACTTAGGAAGGTCTTAAGCAATTTAGTGAGATCCTGTCTCAAACAAACAAACAAACAAACCAAAAAAAACAAAAAAACAAAAACAGAAATTGGGCTAGAGATTTAGTTACATAGTAAAGCACTCTTGGGCTCAATAATCACCCCCCCCCAAAAAAAAAATATTTATATAGATTCTAACACAATGCATGCTCCAATAAGTGAGTCCTATGATTAGAGCTATCTGGCCAGAAGACCCATCACCTTTACTGTATTTGAAGAAACTCCAGTGTGGCTCTACACGGTCTGCTCTCTTGGAAGCTAAAGATATTTTGTAATCTTATGAAAAAAGGAAAGTTCATCAGAAATATTCATAATAATTCCAAATGGCAATACAATCTGTGCCTCACATATTGGAAACTAGGATACAGAATTCCAATCATCCGTGAAGTCTGGAAAAAAGAAGATTTGGTTTCAAATTATTGTTTCTTAATTTAGTATTTTTTCCTTTTAAATTGAMACATAATAATWGTACAWATTTATAGGGYAYAGTGTGCTATTTCTATGYATATRTACATGATGWAATGATCAAATGAGTGCAATTGTATATCTGTCAGCTCAAACACTTGTCACTTTTTTTGTGGTGAAAACATTGAAAATTGTTTCTTCTGGCCATTTAAAGTGTACAGTRTATTATTGTTAACTATGTCCATCCTACTCTGCAATAGAACACCAAGTTATGGTGGTTTAAAACCAGATTTTCTGATCATAATCCACAGAGATTAATTATTTTTGAACATCTTATGACATTAAGTTTTACTTCAGGTTTTTATTTATTTTCTTATGCCATAGAGATTGGTAATTGTTTTAGGTAATGGGTCCATTTCCCAGGAGCATAATTTATAGTATAAAWTATTTTATTGCATTCTATCCACATCTAACACCTTCAGTTCCAGGAAAGAAACATCTAAACATCTATATTACAGGTTTGTTCACTAATACTAGACTCTAGGTACTTGAAAATAAAAGATATGTTTTCTGAGCAAACAAWAATAATCAAGGATATGTGTAACTCGTATGTCTTTGATATAAAAAAGTTAATGAGAGCACTTATCTAATGCCCTTACTTTTTAAGAATTTTTAGATTTTTTTTCTTTTATTTAAGAGCCAGGAGAGAAACTAGAACCATTTCTTCTGCAACATGAAACATTAATGCATATAAAAATGGAAATTAAAAATGCTAGACTTTCTCTTTTTCTCTTTTTCCCCAACTTTTGCCTTAGCAGCATCCTGCATCAGATCTTTAAGCCAAAGATGAGCTCATGATTGCCACTGCCATGCTAATTTTAAAGGTTGTKTTTATTTTTCCTGCTATCTGGTCATGAACTTCTTCTATTCAGGAGAAGATACTTCTGGATTTTCTAAGGATTTATCATAGATTAGTTTTCTATTACAAGAGAACATTGAGAATATAATTTTCAAAGAGGAATTTTAATTTAATTCAGACCAATAGCTTCTTTTTTCTCTTTTTCTTTTTTCTTTTTTTTTTTTTTGTTAATAGTTAAGAAACAAGAAAACCATTACTTCAGGAGAATAATTTGTTTCCATTTCATCAAAATTCATTCCATACCCAGAGAAATCATCAAGCTACTTCTGATCCAGACTGCCCTCGCTCAATTTTGATTAAAATGGTTTAATGAAGTAAGTATCTATTCCTAAAAGGTAAGAAGGAAGGCAGAGAATAAGATCATTCAACTTTCATAGGCCTCTTCATTAAGGTAAAGATCTGGATAGGAGTTTTCACTTAAATGAAATATATAATTTTCCCCCTTTATCCAAATAAGGGACCTTAGAAWGTTTTCACTTTTTTAATGTGGTTAAAATATTTTTATATTAAGATTATATCCAAATTAAGYTGAAGACACCTGGTGTATCTATGTGTATTCATAATTTTACACATATATTATTTACAACTAAAACTTCTCACMCTATGTATTACTGGTGTCTGTTCTTTAAAATCGATCAGTTTAAAACATAATTTGAAAGTACATTTCTACCATAGATATGATGAATCATAGTTTAACAACTTCATTTTTTTTTGGGGGGGAGAGGGCATACTAGGGATTTAATTTATGGATACTTGACCACTGAGACATATCCCCAGCCCTATTTTGTATTTTATTTAGAGACAGGGTCTCACTGAGTTGCTTGGCACCTTGCTTTTGCTGAAGCTGGCCTTGATCTTTAGATGATCCTGTCTCAGCCCCCCTAGCTGATGGGCTTATATGTGTGCACCACTGAATTCAGCAAACAACTCCATTTTTGAAGATTTTTTTTCCTTTATTTTATTTTTTATTGGTGCTGAGGATGGAAAYGAGTGCCCCACACRTGCTAGGTGAGCACTCTACCTCTGAGCCCCAGCCCCAGCCCAAGCCTCAAATCCATTTTTTACTACTGTCAAAACAGTCACAAACAATAATGTACCATTGWTCATAACTTTTCATCATTTTTCAGCATAATCATTTCTGACAGTTTCACTAAAAAATATCTAATTAAAAATCATTGATTTTTCTTGTTCAAAATGTTAGTATTTTCAATAAATGTTGACAATTTGCTAAAAATAATTATACYAGCATTTCTTTTTTCTAAGACATTATAGGACTTCCTAATTATCATTACAACGAATTCACAATTTTACTAGTTTGATAAATTAAAAACTCTTGAGTATGTGTATTAAGTGTGTGTATTAAGTGTGTATATTAAGTCTACTTTTACAYTCTGAGTAATTCATGAACTACAAGTTTCAGAGAAAATGTTCACACACCACAATAGAATTTTATATAACTTGTATGGGCAAATTTATGTTACTGAAATATTTAACATGATTTAACATGAGCATAACAAGAATTTTTGTACTCATTTTATAGTTATTCACCATAACCTCTTAGTGAATCCATGTAGTGTTCAAGCGCATCTTTGAATCTATTTCAAAGTCTGCCAWACCACCAACTTCAGTGGATCATCTGAACTGCAATAGGTAATTATTGACTGGGAATCATGCAAGATTGTTGCTGATACTTAAATTAATTTTTACTAGTCAGATTTAGAGTGATACATAKTCCAGGTTATTCTTAAAATTATTGAACATTTTGAAAGTTAGGCTTGTCTTGCAATCCATGATTATGTGTTTAATATTAATATGATATTCTCTTTTTGATCTCTTCCCCAAACTAGCTCAAAATTTTTCATGTTTTCCTTAGCTTGACTTTTGATAAATGGCTGAGACAAACTGCACCACTGTGACAGAGTTCATTCTGCTGGGATTGTCAGATGTCCCCGAGCTGAGAGTCCTCCTCTTCCTGGTGTTCCTTCTCATCTATGGAGTCACAGTTTTGGCCAACCTGGGCATGGTGGCACTGATCCAGGTCAGCTCTCARCTGCACACYCCCATGTACTTTTTCCTCAGCCACTTGTCCCTTGTGGACTTCTGCTACTCTTCAATCATAGTGCCCAAAATGCTGGCCAACATCTTTACCAAGGACAAAGCCATTTCCTTCCAGGGCTGCATGGCGCAACTCTATTTATTTTGTACTTATGCAATTACAGAGGTCTTCCTGCTGGCAGTGATGGCCTATGACCGCTTCGTGGCCATCTGCAACCCACTGCTGTACATGGTCATCATGTCCCAGAAGCTCTGTGCAGGGCTGGTCTCTGGCTGTTATCTATTAGCATCGGTGTGTGCTCTGATTCACTTGTGCTTAACACTTGAGATACCACTCTACAGTTCAAATGTGATCAATCACTTCTTCTGTGACTTACCCCCACTCTTAAATCTTGCTTGTTCTGATGTCACTGTAAATGAGTTGCTGTTATTCATTTTGGTCAATTTCAATGAGGTCTTTACCATCACGATCATCCTCACCTCCTATGTATTCATTCTCATCACCATCCTGAAGATGCGGTCTGCAGAGGGGAGGCGCAAAGCTTTTTCCACCTGTGCCTCCCACCTCACAGCCATTGTTGTCTTCCATGGAACAATCCTGTTCATTTATTGCCAGCCCAGTTCTGGCACTAGTCTGGATATTGACAAAGTGACCACAGTGTTCTACACTGTGGTGATCCCCATGCTGAACCCGCTGATCTACAGCCTGAGGAACAAGGATGTGAAAGAAGCTCTCAGAAAAGTTGTGGATTCTAAAATATTATCATTTATATTAACATAATTTGGGTTAAAGGATGAAAAATATATACCATGATAATAATAATTTCACATGAATCCTAGGAGAAATGTTACATRTCATATGAAAACATGATTTATAACCACTTATTTATAATTCATTCTATCTCTGTCCCTATKTGTTCTGTATCTTTTCTTATTCATCACTGTTAATCAGTTAATAATCACTATTACGAGTAGCTACATTTATGACATATTTCTACTTTTATCATGTCTGAACTTCTTACATTCATGTACATATATAATGCACTAAGGATAAAATACTTTCACTTGTAAGTAGATTCCTATGTGTAGTGATCTATGCATGTATATTTGGTCTTCATAAAATAATCTTTGTCATTTTTTGTATATCTAAGCAATATTTCTTGATTCTGYCTTTTCTCATGTAGAGCACTTCTTGTATTTATKAAATGTTAGAAAATCAGTAGACCRAGTTCTTAAAAACTAGGATTGATGTTTCAACCCTGATTTTTTTTAATTAGGAAAGTCTAACTTCACTTCTTCAATCTTTGGTTCTCTACATTTCAAAAACCACTCATTGTTCTAACATCAAGGGATTTTAYTGAACTTAAATTTTGACAATATATATTCAGTGATATTAACATGCTCACAAGAAATAAACTTTGCTAGTCAATAATTTGAAATARGAAATGTTTTTACTATTAATTATAAGATATATTCAACCACAGAGATTTTATAAGAGATAAAAGTCCCTTAGAATCGATAAAATGTGGTATGGATTCAAATATCAAGGAGCTTATATAGATTTCTGTCAGGAGAAACAATAATTTGAGTCCATATTGATTCCATATTTTCATTAACTGYATACTGAATTTTCATATTTCACCCAAGACTTTCCAGTTCATGACTATTATACCATAATACCAAGGGCAATATTGGTTAAGAAAAACCTAGAAAAGTAGAAGATAAGCTTTGTGATTCAGAGTGGCTTTGGCAATTAATACATGTTCTTTAACTCTGGGCATATTCTTATTCCTAACAAGGCAAAGATCAGAGTGAGAGCAAATATTACAGATGAAGAGAATAAAGACAAGTGTTCTGCTTGATACTTTACTATATACTGTCCATTCTTSAGAGAGCATGGGATTATATGAGGAGGGCAGATGCAGGGGAAACCCTTTCTGGTCACCAGAAATCCACATTTTGATTGGAGAGAATATTATGCCAATGTATATATGGATAACTAAATCTCACCAAGGTCCGGGTCATGGTTAAGTATGGACTAATTCACAGAAATTGTGACAATATGTGAATAAAGAATGTAGTCTTGAGGAATAATAAAATGTTGACTAATAAAACTTCTAGTTTTCCCACCTCTGTGATGYTTTGACATATAAATAAAATAAATGGTACCCTAAAGACAGGTGAGATGTTRCATTAATGGTAAATAGGTTCATGGATAGTTACTGATAATTACAGGAACTGAAATTTGTAAAGAAAATTCARATGTACTAAGTTCACTAGAGCAGACATGGGGAGCCAGTATTAGGATYTTAAACATGCACTCAGATTCACAAACGGGAGAATAACTTCATCATGCATTCACTGATTTGTTTTGATTTAGTAGAAAGATAAATACTGTTAGAACAAGTGATATAATCACATTGTCCATTTTCTCTTCCCAGCCATGTTTAAAACAAGGTATATACATCCACGGATTTTTATGTGTATCTACTAGTATATTGTAAAGAGTGATTTTAGTAACTTCATCATAGGCATATAGGAAAATGAATGTATAAAGATAAAGGTAATAAAAGCAGAATCTAAATAAATACCATTGAAGATGGAGAAATGAATCAAGAATTTTTTGAATTTTGTAGATATGTGAGATTCAGGATGAATTGCTGAAAATAGTGTGCTGAATCAGAAGCAAAGAAGAAATCATTATATGAATAATGAACAGCACCTATTTTTATAGGATATTGGGATATTGTAATAACATTTAGACATCATGAAACACTTGTTCTAGCTAGATGTATYTCCTCCTGTGGAAAGAGAGAAGTGAATTTCAAGCACTAGTAGTCTTATCCTCAATATATATGAAAAAGTTATGTATATGATATCTCTGGCAAGAACATAACAAAGTAAGTAATCAAGGGACATAATAGTAGAATCTACCTGCTTCTCTTATGTGGTTAAAGGTATTTCAACTTTGCAAAGAACAGGAGCATAGCAGAAATTTAAGAGACAATTGTTGAACAAATAAAAAACTATATTTTTTGTTATTCTTTGTCATTTTAAAAAAAGTTGTGAGCTATGATAATAATCATGGAGCAGAGGRAGATGTCATTCAACTGAGTTAACTTTCATATAAAATGTTTCTAAAGCTGCTGTTGACTTACTTCACTTCCATGAAATGAGAATTACATCAGAAATGAGTATTTAATTTTAATTGCTGTTTTGAAGCCCCCAGAGTATGAGGCAACCTGTTTTCTCTAGGACAAGATGCCAAAGGGAGATGGAGTAGAAATAAGGGTGCTGTGCCTCCCCAAATGAGCTCTCCGGAGGCCAGAGAGGCTGGTTTGCCGTCAGCAGGCATGTCTCCAGATCTGGAAATGCAGATGATGTTTTCCATAGAAGATTTCTAGCAKATTACCCAGGTTTTGTCAGATGTTCATGGGGAAAATAATTTTGAGGGAATTTTGTGCCACTGCACATATTATGCATGTGGATACTGAGGTAATAGGAAGTATGCTCTTTCTACAGAGCTTTGTTTAGAGGAACCTGCTTAGAAGAAGTATCCTGGGAGTTGGAGAAGTTAGGGCCCTGAAAGTTTTCAGGAATATATATCTTCTTGTGTGTGGGATAATTTAAAGGAGTTTGCATGGGAAAGAGGTATTTAAATGAAATTTATTTGAAAGGACTAAATGAGTTTATAGAGAAATATGACAAGGAGAACTTGATCTAAATAAGCTTGTTGAGCATGGACATAAAGTTGGTTCATGAGAGACAAAACAATAATAATAAAAAAATATGAGAATGATTTTTAAATACCACATTTACCATATTTAAAGAAAATGCAAACTGCTTCATCTGTAAAATAATATTATTTATGGAAGAGGAATTCTGATATAGAAATTGTACATTAGTCTCAAGTAGCAATCAGAAGAAACACTAAAATCTATCCAAATCAAAAAAATAAAATAGTATTTTTTTTAATACAGGAGATTATAAATCCTCCCCCTTCAAATAGGTCTGGAGATATTTTGAATTTTCACAACTGGGTGGTGTCAGTGAGACCCTTCTATTGAATGGAGGCTAGAGAGTCTGCTGTACCTGGTACAATTCAAAAGGTAGCTTTCCATAATATAGAATAATCCAGCACAGAAGATAAATCCTGTTGAGGTTTAGAAACACTGAGATGAAGCAATCAGAAATACCTTCAAACAGAATTGACTATGGGAGCTCAGATCTTTAGAGCTGGAGTAATTGGGACCTATTTCTTGATAGTAGAASCAAAGAAGTTCTTACCAGAAATGAYAKTATGGGAAAGAGTCTTTATTATAAGGAAACATGATTAAGGGTTACTAAAAGAAAGGTCTCAGGTGAACTGGTTGAGTTAGTTGTCATAAAATTCTAAGTAGTTCTAAATATAGAATTGGTAGATTTAGCAAACAAAAATACAGTATGCCAAATTGAATTTGAACTTCAGATATGCACACATTTTCTTTAGTGTGCATATATACCATGCAATATTTGGGATGTACAGAAAAAATTCATTATTTATCTTAGACTCAAATTTAACTAGGTTTCTCTAATTTATCTGACAATGGTATCTGGGCATCARTGAGATAAATCCCTACAATCTCTCTGTTTTAATAACCCCTTGTTCCTGAAAGTCTTCTCAATTCAGTGACAACATCTTAACATATTTTTCCAATTTTTTGGGGGGTGGTCAGGTAATAGAGGTACASAATGAGTGTTTTAGTTGACTTAATGGGATGAAGATGAGAGGAGCCTAGAAAAAGGAAATGTCTGTGGGTGTTTATGGGTTTTCATCATGCTTATTTCTAAATGGGAACTTTTCTCTGACTTCCATTCTGTATGTTTCACCTTAGCACCAACATTCAGAACATCTCTGAGACTCTTACAACTTTCATTCCAGTTTTACATTCTAAAGATTCTCWAAAAGGTAATCAAAATAATTAGAGCAGGGGTTGGGGTTGTGGCTCAGTGATATAGAGTGCTTCCCTTGCATGCAAAAGGCATTGGGTTCAATCCTCAGCACCACATAAAATAAATAAATAAAGGTATTGTGTTTATCTACAACTAAAAAAAAACTATTTAAAAATAATTAGAGCAGCTTGGGAGGCTGAGATAGGAGAATCACAGGTTCAAAGCCAGCCTCAGCAAAAGCAAGGCTCTAAGCAACTCAGTGAAACCCTGACTCTATTAAAATACAAAATAGGGCTGAGGATGTGGCTCAGTGGTTGAGTGCCMCTGAGTTCAATATCTGGTACCAAAAATAAAATTTTAAAAAGTACGAAAATGTGATATTTAAAAATTAAATTTTCTATCTCTGATGCAAATCAAAACTGCAGTGAAGACATTATTACTATTTGACAGGGAATTAAGAAAACTGGATTTTACTGGTGATCTAATATTGGTGAGCTTTTGGTCAAGTCATAGTGGTATTTGTATGTGGTGAGAGTGGAGGGGTTAGTGTTAGGAATGAAACCCATGGGTTTGTGATGCAAGGTTAGTGCTCTGTCACTGAGTTACATTCCCAGGCCCTTTATTTGTTTGTTTGTTTGTTTGTTTATTATTTAATATTGAGAAAGTGTCTATAAGTTACCAGAGCTAGGCTCAAACTTCCAATACTCCTGTATCAACTAATGTGGTGTCTTCAAACTTCCCTTTGCTCATCTGGGGAACAGAGCAGTTTAATAAATAATATTTGATTTTTTTTTAAAAAAAGGAAATTACTGACTCCTATGGCTCACATAT